TTCCCTCCCTTCCGCCCCCTTCCCCCTCCCCTCATAACGGTTGATTGGTCCCTGCGTCCTTTAACTGTTGCTTGTCTTTCGTGTACGCCTTTTATCTCTGATGATGGAATCTAGGAAGAGCCCGAAAGCTGAAACAAATAAAAGTATGATTTCGGTGATCGAAACGCCTTCTCCTTCTGTATCTACACACATACTTGGGGTGCGAACAGCTGCCTCAATTCGTATCGAATTTTCTGTTAGCTCTTCCCTTCGTAGTAGTTAGCTGAGCAGTCGCCGCGCATCTTCCATTGCCTTTTCACCGATGATGCCTTTTCGACCCCTCACAACAACAGTATTCAATCGTATATACATGCACAGGAAACTTGACAATTACTTTGGGGCTCATATGTGCCTCAGTAGTATTGCAATGTTTGGATCCGATCTAGGCAGTGTATGTGTGAAAGTGTTTTTCATGATAGCCTTGAAATGTTTGCCCGCCTACTCTCCACTTTCGCAGCATAAATGTCTCGTTAAGGGCTTACGGTTTATGTCAAGTGGCTGGTTTTTGAATTCAACGTAAATCCTAACTCAAAGTCCTTTTAATTTTATTTCCCTTAGGCTGGATTCGAAATTGCTCTACCCAGCTCCAACAACCAAATTTTGAAGCGCTTTGTTGATGGACTGTCCCGTCTCGAACATCCAACTGCCGGAGAATCTGAACAACAATGTGACAGCGTCGTCGCTTCACTTCCCCTTACGGGTTCGGGCTTGAACTCAACGAATCTCGCTTCACAACATGCGGATGCTTTTTCTTCCAACCAGGTGGGAGAATAAATGTCTGAGATATCGTGCCGTGTGCATAAACTATTAGTGTTCAGAAACATCAAGATCAGAAATAATTTTATCAATATATAAGAAAGATTTTTGAACGAACTACCTAAAACCAATTACTGCGTGACACAGTATGGATTGTTCCTGGTGGTTAATATATAGTGCCCACAAGATTTGTACGTCAAGGCAGTATAACACACGCGATTTGAAAAGAAATGAATATTTGCATTTGTCCTGCTGCAGCTACGAAGTATATCCATGTATTAATAGGGGAATAAGGAGGATCGTTTACATTATTTCTAACGACGAACAACCTCATAATGGCAGATAAGTTCTGCCTGCAAAGACAAGGGAGACTGGAATGGCAATTTCTGGCTTATTAGCCGTCATCAGTCAGTCATACCCAACCTCAGGTGGTGCACAACCGAAGGTTCGAAACTGCAAAACGTTTAAACAAACTACTCAGCTATGAAAAAGGGTGGAGGGGCGAGGATGTTATAGGTCAGTTACTCTGGCACCCAGGCACATACACATGCATGCACATAAATTTAAGCTGCTTCCCTTTCATCCATTGTCAGGAATTTACAAAAATGTAATTGCTTGAGGTTGCTCATCTTTGCAGAGTTCTAATTCCTGCACTTGGAAAAATACGCATGTTAGAAAATTATAATTCACCAAGTTGGCCGACCACCTTAAAGACCCTTGGCTCCTTTATATTGTGGTTACTTTTATTTTTATTTGTTTTAGGCTAGTTTGGTTTATTGTTTAGTTTAAAAGTTTAATTTCAATTATAGTTTAGCAAGAAACTGCCAACGTTAAATAAATATAACAAATAACCACAAGTCATTCAAACAAAACAAAACAAAATAAGCTTAAGTAAACAAAATTCACTAAACTAAAACTAAAATTAAACCAATTAACCAAATAATATTTGAAGCATAATGTTCCCGGTGAGAACTTGAAGATAGTAATTAATGCAAAATTTAATGGAACCATAAATTTCATGAGAGCTCTTCAGTTGCATCCACTCATTGCGTTGAAGGATCACAAAAGAGAAAAATACGAAATTGAATTTGTGCAGAAAGGTCATAGGTCCTAGTCACATACAGAAGGAAACTTAAAACAAAGTGGAAGGGGAAACAGGGAAAATGAGTTGCAGGGAAAATGGGGCAGTGTAATGTGCAAATCTGAGGGCCTGTAGTTACCAAGGCAAGGCTAGGTTAACCACATGCTCCAACTGTTTGATAGGTCCGGTTTAAAGCGTCTTATACAGACTGCCTCCAGGTAGCGCAAGATTCGAGATGTTCGTGCTCGAACAGGAACTCGGAATGAAGTTATAGGGTCTACAGAATGACCCGTGTCCAGCAAGTGTTCAGTAATAGAGAAGCGAGTGGAACGGTTTTCCTGCGTGAATAACCAACTAGGCAGATGTTTCTTGGCTCTGGCTGCCAAGTACCTTTGCGTTCGCCCTAGGTACTTGCATCCGCAAGTGCATGTGAATTCATAAACGCAGTTAGAGGTGGCGTGCTAAGGTAAGGCATCCTTAACACAAGGAATTGGCAGGGGCTTTGTTGGAGAGCA